TAGGGAAATAGCCACATTTTGGAAAGTTTCTATATCTTTCTCTGTGTAGGCATCTTCAACATTGACCAAGTTTCTTTGTTATTTTTGGTTGCTTTAGGGTTCATTCCTAGGTAGAAGAAACTAAGAGAGAGCTTCTGCCATGAATGGGAATCTCTACATCGAATCTGATATTTGAAGTAGATAAAACATTGTTTCACGATTACGTTGAGCACCTACATCCTAGGTTTCAACAATGTAGATGGACATGTAGGAACTCATTTTCAATACAAGCACAACAAAAGTTTGGGCTGTAGCTGGTGAGTTTGAAAAATTGATGTTCTATAGGAGCTCTATCTCGCCTAAAAAGAACTTAAATTGGGTAGACGAGTGTGATATGTCACTGTTGAGCTAGTTCATCTGAGGAGCAAATTATGTTTAATGAAAAAGGTCAGCATGTTATATACTCTTTGTAAGCAGATTTCCTTTCGTATATACTTTTACAAGTACTGATATGTCTTGAACTTCGATTTAACTTCAGATGAAACAGCATGACTTACCCAACAATTAAAATGATCACAGAAAGGACCCACAAAATGCACTGATAGGTCTTGAACTTTGATTTAGCTTGAGATGATGCGTATCCTGGAGGACCATATCTTTGGTTAACCCACCCGAACTGGGGGCGGATAAGAAACACAAACCCGAGAAAAAAACCCGAAAGAAATCCTCCAATGTGAGCAAAGTTGTCAACGTGTGGGAGAATTCCCACTGCCAAATTGATTGCTATGACGATCAGGAGGGTGAAAAGTGCTCCAAACTGAACAATAATAAGGGAATTAGATATTGGATCCTGAATGTGACCGATTTAAAATTTTGAAGTATGATGAAGCTCCTTTAACAAGCAGTTTGACAATTACCTTACTAGCATATATTGTCCAATTAGTGATAAGTTCAGAAAGCATGGCTCCCAGCAACCCAAAAAGAGCACCAGAAGCACCAACAGAGATGTTTGTTTGGATGAAAAGCGAAGACAACAAACTCCCACCAAGTCCAGAGATGACATATAGCAACCCGATCCGGACTGCAAGAGAAACACACAAGAGTTGGACAAAGGGCATGAGCTAAAGTTTTGTATACTGACATGAACAAGGAAATAAGAAGAGCTATATCATCAAATAGATTTGGCTCAATCACAATGAAAAAGCCTAGCTTGTCTCATATACCCAAAGTTGCATTGTGAAAGAAGAACCATTTGCCTTTGAATGATGACAATGCTTTTAATCATCAGAAAGTTCTCTGAATTTGCAGACAAAATTTCATCACAACAATTAGATAGAAAACTGATTTTCAAAATACATACCGAAGCCAAATTCTTGCTCTAGCCGATACCCAATAACCAAAAGGCTCAACATATTTGCCAATAAATGGAAAACACCACCATGTAACCAATTGCAAGTGATGAGAAGCCACCCCTGGTGTCTGTGAACCACCTTATTTACATCTAAAGCCCCCATCTTCTGTAGCCTATAGCAATCAACATTCAGCAAAATACCCAATTATAAACCCATCAAATCACCAATTCATAAATAAAAAACACAAAACCAGCTAAGGGGTCAGCTGCAGCATTTGATATCAAAATTTACAGAACCAAATGAAAATCTGAAAACCAACAGGATCACCAAAAACTAAGAACTCACGCGGAAGATGATGGTCCAAGAAGAGGGTTCTCCTTAAACGGCTGAAAGGAGAACCTACCCAAGAACGTGGCAATGCAATTGATCGAGTTCTTGGGGCAGTTGTTGACATACATGGTGATGATGAACATAATAACATTGGCAACAACAAAAACAGGTATCAGCCAAACAACCCACTTCTTGAAATGCTTGACCTCTCGATACACATCAGGGGATGAAGCTGGAGCTGGAGAAGCTAGTGGAGGTGTCTCTATGTCCACTGGGTGCACCACGTTGTAGCTCCGCCTGGAGTTCACTCTCGTTTGGGTTCCTGAAGATGCAGGCTCTGCCGCCATTGAAGTGGGCAAAGAATCAAAGAATTGGGTTGAAAGCTAAAATTGATGAAGGTTTTTGATGCAGAGGATATGAATGTGAAGAAGGAGACGATGAAAAAGGTGAGAGCTTTAGGAGCACAAAGTCAGGAAATGGGGCTGCCTTTAGTCAACTTTCATCAGTTGAGAAGCTGTTGGCCTGAATTGAACTGCTCTACATCATTTTGCCGACACATACGTGGCGCCTACCCAATTCTTTAGCTTTAAGGCACTGTTCGTTTGGACTTTTGACGTCGCGTTGCAAAAATGGAAAAAATAAAATAAGAACAGATTAAACATTTTTTGAATGAGAAAATTGGATTTTGATTTCTGAATTTTTTTTTTAAAAAAAATAGCTTTTTTTTTGGGGTAAATATCACGAGATGTCCTCACATCCGAATAGTGAGATTAATCCCCGCTCAAAATTTAACTTACTCCTAACCATAAAGTACTTCCAAAGAATTTCGAACTCCTGCAATTGAAGAATAAAATTGCATTTTGATCAAAAGCAAACATAGCCTTCTTCTTACTTTCATTTCGCTGTCGTATATGAAAATTATTGTTGCAGCTGTCCAGGTCAAAGTGATAGAATAATTCCATGCAAAAAAGTAATGATTGAATATTTAATCAATGCGTTGTATATGGAGAGCATGATTTTAATACGATTCTTTACTTTTGCTGTATCTAGTGTGAAAGTGTGACAGACGGTGATTAGAAATTAGTTTTTTTTTTCCCCTCTCTATCTATACTTTGTAATTGATTAGATAGAAAATCTTTATAATTAAACATTTTTTAGGATTAAAAAAATCATCTCTCTCTATGTGTAACTGTTCTTTTGCCGCAAATGGGTTCCCACCACAATGATGGTGGCTTCCCCCTCACCCATGGCACCTAGAATCGAAACCTCAGGGTTAGGGTTTTGATCCTGAAACTTGTTGATTTTTTTGTCACGTAACCTGCACATGTATGGACATTCAAAAAATTGACATTGCTAAATTAATTTTTTCAATGTCCATCTATTTTATTGATTGACAAACCGCAATTGCTTGATGCCACAACGTAATTATAAAGTCTGCAGGCATGTGAATAACCCAATCGTGCTGCTACAAACATGTAAATTAAAATAACAATACACCTCTTTATTTATTTCAAGCAAATTCTTCATACATTTTCATTTAATCCACCGCTAATTATTACTTGATATTTTACTAATTTAATAGCATAATGGTTCAATTGCAAAATTACTAAATATACTAAATGTCTCAATCGGTCATTTGCTGTTCACCAACCGTTTGGAGAAAATTCAATTAAAAGCAATAGGGAAGAAGAGGACATACATGTATTGCTTCAAATTGAGGTTTGAGTTTTGAGAAAGCATAAACCCA